AAGCCCCACACCCAGTTTTGACTTGCCACGCCCAATGATGACGTCACAGTGACGTCATATTCCGATTTTTCAATGTTTCTTATTATTTTTCCACTTAGATACGTAAAATATCAATAATATTGGTAGAGTCATCTCTTTGTTATCCTTTCTTATGAACTAGTAACAAGGAAACACTTGTTCAGCGAGAAAAAGCAATAGGAAGCAATAAAATTTAAAATTTGAAATGGTTGTCCGCCATCTTGGATCCGCCATCTTGGATTTCCGTTTTTCTGTTAAAATTATAATTTAAAGCAACTTTCAAAGGGGAAAAAGCTCAGAATGTATAAAAGAAGTATCAAACTAATGTTTATTACCCAACCAAATGACTTTGGAAGTGTTATTTGGAAAACAGAGCAGCATATTTGTCAAAGCAAAAAAGTGACAAATTTTACCCCACCCCTCCCCCCCCAAGTATTCGATGTTGAAATATTTTGATGTAATTAAAAAACTAGTCCCAAGCAAAGACCATTTTAACAACAAAAAGCAATATAAGTGTAAAAACACGATCCTAAAACAAAAAAATCACCATTTTTTTAATTTTCCAAAACCAATGTGTCAGAAACTGGTGCCATGGCAACATGATTAATCCCATGGACATGGTAATTATACCAAAATGTTCCTAGATAAATTTTAGGAAAAGTCAGAAAATTTGAACGTCATAGCTCTTTCGGTGTAGAAGTTATCACGATTTTGCCGGAGGGGGGGTTCGGAAAGCCCCCCACCCAGTCTGAATAGGGTTAAGGAGTTTTGAGCTGCAAAGATACACTTGATCTGAGGGTTCGACTGTGCTTAAACTCCCTTAGTCTCAGGCAACATGGCTATTCGTTAGCATAACGCTCCTTGTAAACTGATCTTAGGAGCTGCGATTCGGAATGTTCTTTGACGGAGCCCAATTAAGATTCATGATATCCTCTCTTTCAACAAATGTACCTACCATAAAGAACGCACATGTTGTTTGTATTTTTTGTAGCAGCTTAAGAATATGGTTATAGGTAAATTATAATAAACAGCTCAGTTATAATACTAGAAATGGGTATCTCACAAATCCTCGCGAAACTCGGTAGTTCACTCCATTGAAGTCCTGCCAGTTGCGATTTGAAACTGGTCGGGTGACTAGCCGCGAATAACTTGTCACGAAGACCTCTACATTTTTCTCCCTTGTGATTTTATTTTTACCAAATTTTTTTATTGTCGTCCTTGATTTTTAAATGCGTATTGCAAGTGAAAGAAGGGAGTTCGACCTAAGGCTTGAACTAGCTGTTCGCAAATATTAAATGGCGGAAAATTCCTCGAATTTCATTGAGATTTCAAGAGTATGGTCAAAAGGCTTAAACTTAACATCCTAGCCAATATGGATCCCTTAAAAGTTTTGCTGAGGATACACGTTCGAAAGATATGCTTCCAACTATATATAAGGTCAATGTCATTGTTGTTAATTTTATGATAGGAAGAACATTAGCATGTACTTTATTTCAGTAGGATTTAGGACTAGGTTTGTTTCGTTTGCCCAACATTGTACGGTTTGTCCACATTACGTTGCACTGAGGTAAAGCAAGAGGTAAGTTCACCGGGTTTGGATGCTTGATATATGGTTGTATCGATGGGAAGGACAGTCATAGTTTTCCTGCAAATCTGCCACATATATGATGAAAATTAGTAGACCTCTGATGGAGCCTTGTGGGGTCCCTAAGCCAAAGCTCAGACAGATTTTGAAATATGGTCATCAATTTGAACAAATTGCTCTGTTCCACAAAGGTAGTTTATGGAACTGTTAGCAGAGAATACGTGAGCACAGACTTTAATTGTCGGCGAACTTTCTGTCATCGTCTATGTTCTGCCAGCGCAAGAACCATTATGGCTCTTGGCCAGGGATAAGCTGGCCATTGATTCATGCACTCGTCTTGCTTGTTTGTGGACTGAGTCTCACTCGGACCCAAAGAGAAAGAAAGTTACTAATAGAGTGTCTGACAAATTGTTTCCAATCAAAGATTTGAGAATGACAAACTCGAGTCTAGCAAACTCTCCAAGTGTATAATTATCTTGCCAATTAATTTCGTTGATCTCGCAAAATGTTGTTATATTCTCGAGTTTTGTAGTGCATGTTCGAAATCTTCGTCGTTTTTTCAAGGGCCTCCCTCATTTGCATTTTCCCGTCAAATTTTGTCGATGACCTCGCCATTTTTTCCTTTAATTTTTATTTTTTTTCGTAGCTAACTGTTAAGCTAAATACATTGACACTAAAATAAAGTCATCATTTATATTATTATTATTTATGTAGTTTTGGAAATTTTCGTTGTTTCCTCGACGGCATTTCATCCCCCATTCGAATTTTCCTGTTAATTTGTTTTAACGGCCTTGCGAAATTTCCTCTATAATATTTCCTACTTCTGCCATTTTCTTTGCTTTCTTAATTTTCCATCAAGGGCCTTTTATCGCCTTACTGGCATTTACGTTGTTGGCCGCACAAACTTTTACATTTCTCAATATTTTCGTACTTTTCTTGGTTTTTGTTACTTTCGATGTTTCAGGTTGAGGACCTTTCATCGCCTCAAGTTCCGTCATATTGTTCTTGAAATTGCATATAGATTTTGGTTTCTGTAAATTCGTAGCTAATTTCAATAATCTGAAACACGCCCCTACTTTGAATCTCAAATAAGCTTTTCCCTTTTTTCGGTGTTATCACCTGTCCACTAGAAGATGCACCCATGTTTCTTTCTTTTCTTTCTCCTTTTTTTTGGCGGAAACATCGCGGACAACAATGAACCAATTCGTGAGATAAAAAACATTACAATTCCCTACACCATTCGAACACCGTAAGTTTACTCGAGATTTTTGAAACCTTCCAATAATTCGAACAACTTTACTTTCCCAAAATGGTTGGAAGAATCTGGTTTCTGCTGTAGATGTACTACAGATTGAAGCTATTTACAACCGACGTTGAAAAAATAAAAAAAACGGGGCAAACAAAATCTAACTTAAAATGTTTTTTTTTTTTAACTTTTCAAACTTTTATTAAATACTCCACAGCGTTATAATACTAACGCTACATGGCATAACATGATATTACATTACAATACATTACAAAGCCACTACATTACATTACACTATGAACTTTAACGGTAAAGTGACTATACAAAAATGAAAATTACGTTCTAAGTACACACGTCACTGGGGTACAGAGTCCAAAGGCAGAGCCCACTTCTTATTAAATTTGTCCATTTTATTAGTTTTAACACATATATATACTTTTCTGTTTCATATGCTTAATTTTAATCTTGGATGAAAAGGCAGTCATGACTGGAAGACTCTTATTTCTTCTACAACCCCATAAGTATAGCTTACCGATATCAGTATCAAATAATTCAGTAAAGGGCAATTTGATGTATATATATTATTCCTGCAATAACGTCTTGTAAGGTCAGACAGACGAACTCTTTTGTCAATGTGTAAAAGTAATATTGAAATTCCTTCCTTCCTTCATTTAATCTTACTTAAAGTGGTTAACCTTTAAAAGAAACAAATATCCTTGTTGCTCTATATATTAGATGGAGTTTGTTTTCTTTGAGTTTTTCTCTAGATTTTGTATGCTGTTAACAAACTTCCTTTTCAGACAATTAATTGCGTTTTACAAGCTACGATATCATAGTATCCACGAGTACTCTAGTACTTCTTGATAAAAGGGTAGGAAGCAATGATAAACTCTAACACAAAAACTTACTTGGCTTGAATATAATCAAAGGACAAATTCTGGCGAAGACACAGTACTGTATACGAACATGTTTTTTTTTACCTCCACGCTCGTGTATAAGCAGGTGCCCATAAAATGCTACCTATATGCATGTGCGTGTTTCAAGCGCGGTGATTGAAAGCTATGTTTAACTCAGTTGCATTTATAGCTGTTACATATATACATGACATCTGTCAGTAGATTGAACGCGTGAGAAAGATCTCCTTTTTAAGGAGCTGTGGTGCGAAATTTATGAAATCTTAACAGTAGGAAAGGCCACTACATTGTGTGCAACATAAAAAAATAAATGCTTAAAGGATTAATTTAAAAAGAAGGTATAAATTACAAGGAAAAAAAAAACCGGACAAATTTGAAGAAGTGTAAATAAAAGCGAATTGCTGATTGTGTGTTTTGAAAACTTATTAGGCAAAGCCCAAAAGTTTTTCAACGTTCATATTTGTTGTTTATAACGTTTCATAGAATGTTTGAGCGGTATATTTGTGGGATAAAAAAAAAAGCTGTGTTTTTCTTATTTACAAGTTATTTTTTCGCTAACGTTTAAGTTTACTGGAGCAGTTTGCGACCGTAATTTGAAATATTTGTTATTTAAATGAACTTGACCGACAGCCATGAGGCTTTCTTAAAAGATATTTTTTTATCATCTTCAGAATATTCAAGCCGAGCGACAGATGACTCTGAGTATTTACTTTACCACCCAAGGTCAGGCATAAATTAAACGTTCCATTAGCAAGCTAACTTAACGCAATTAACTTCCTGCTATAAACAAAAAATCTAAAATTCAGGTAAAGTGATGTAAGCAGTATATGTAAGCGGCATATCACGTCCTGGTCTTGGCTCTTATGCTTTGTTTCCCTATGCAGACTAAGCGACAGTATCAACAATCTTTGGTAAGATCAACGGAGCAATATAATGGCAAATATTTGTTTTTAACACAATAGGAAAAATAAGACGAGCCTCTGATATTACATAATGCCCGCCGTAAACAAGACGCAAACTGTACCGTATGAAGACTCTATGAAGAGCATTTGGTCTGAAACAAGATGGGCTGTTTCCAGATAAGATGCGTCTTTGATAAATCCTGTTGTATTTCAGACGTTTTTAATGTGCCAGTATTTAATTGCTTCTTATTTAGGACGCGTCTTAATTTCCCTCGTTAAAGTAGTCCTGATGATCATCTTGCGTTTACTTTCTTTTAATCTTTTAAAAGGTCACCTTCTTACTAACTTAAATCAGTATTGCCAGTTAGCTTTAGACACGAGTAAATTCTTACAAGAAGCCGATTGTTTTAGGGAAGTTATACGTACATTCGCGAAGGAAAACAGCCATAAGACTGAGACAGTTTATTGGTGGTTTTCTTGCAAGGCAATGACAGTTTCAGTCATATGCATTGGTATCATCATGATTTATAACAACTTTATTTGCTAAAATAAAAGATAAGAATTTGTTTAAAAAGGTGCCACTATAGAAGCATTGAATCCTTAAAAAGGGCTGACCACATTCTGTACATCGAATACTCTTAAATCTACAGGATGACGAGTGATGGAAATAAGCCAATTATTCCAGTCATCCGTTCTCTTAATCTTGGCGCATCTGCTCCAAGGAGCAGTTACTCAGCAGTGTAGATCCGAGACATCAATTTTAGGCTGGATGTTGCAGGGACACATCTACAAGACAATGCAGGCAGATCTTCCACACGCATGCGTATTTGCCTGTTACAAAGATGACCGATGTCAAAGCTTAAACTGGGTAATCTCTCTCCTCACTTGCGAGTTCAACAACAGAACAAAGGAAGCAAGACCGGAGGATTTCATTCCAAACGCAGACAGATCTTACTTCAAACGAGAGAGTGACCGAGGTAAATATAACGATGAAGGGTCTGGTTATCAGTTAGGAGATAGTCATGCAACCATTAATTAAGCCTGCAGTGCAGGCGTTTTCTTTGCGCGCGCAATTTGCTCGCGAAAGTGCCATGTTGAAACTTCACAAAGAGAGGAGGCTACCGTAAGAGTTACTATTTGTACTCTCCCCAATCTTCCACTATCATAAANGTATTGCCAGTTAGCTTTAGACACGAGTAAATTCTTACAAGAAGCCGATTGTTTTAGGGAAGTTATACGTACATTCGCGAAGGAAAACAGCCATAAGACTGAGACAGTTTATTGGTGGTTTTCTTGCAAGGCAATGACAGTTTCAGTCATATGCATTGGTATCATCATGATTTATAACAACTTTATTTGCTAAAATAAAAGATAAGAATTTGTTTAAAAAGGTGCCACTATAGAAGCATTGAATCCTTAAAAAGGGCTGACCACATTCTGTACATCGAATACTCTTAAATCTACAGGATGACGAGTGATGGAAATAAGCCAATTATTCCAGTCATCCGTTCTCTTAATCTTGGCGCATCTGCTCCAAGGAGCAGTTACTCAGCAGTGTAGATCCGAGACATCAATTTTAGGCTGGATGTTGCAGGGACACATCTACAAGACAATGCAGGCAGATCTTCCACACGCATGCGTATTTGCCTGTTACAAAGATGACCGATGTCAAAGCTTAAACTGGGTAATCTCTCTCCTCACTTGCGAGTTCAACAACAGAACAAAGGAAGCAAGACCGGAGGATTTCATTCCAAACGCAGACAGATCTTACTTCAAACGAGAGAGTGACCGAGGTAAATATAACGATGAAGGGTCTGGTTATCAGTTAGGAGATAGTCATGCAACCATTAATTAAGCCTGCAGTGCAGGCGTTTTCTTTGCGCGCGCAATTTGCTCGCGAAAGTGCCATGTTGAAACTTCACAAAGAGAGGAGGCTACCGTAAGAGTTACTATTTGTACTCTCCCCAATCTTCCACTATCATAAAATCAAAGATGGCGGCTACAACAATATTACGAACACGAACAAGGTTTCGCCTGCACTGCAGGCTACCATTAATTAAGCAAAGCACCAAGCTTTTTGAGAAAATTCCACTTTTCAGCACAAAATAACCACATCTGGTTATTTAATGTAAAATCAGGTGAAAAAATCGGCAAAAGGCGGTTTTTAGGTTTTTTGATTAAAATGTCAGTGGCGAAACTACCTGTACGCCAACCGGAATAATAGAATAGGTCCGCTGTGTGAACGCGGATGTAGCGAGTGTTCTACGAACTCGAAGGTTTAGGTTGTGCTCTGTTGGAATGATCCAATTTTGATTTATTTTCTTGAAGTTCCAAAGAGAAATTGTAATGCCATTGTCATTTTTTGCTAATTACACTTGTGCTTCGAAGTGTTCTATTTCTTATATTGGGTATAACCTGACTATATTGACGTCGATGCACAATTTTAAGAGGGTTTCAGGGGCTTTAAACAGCCAAAGTCTTCAGTCATTTGGGAAAAAATGAAAGTTTTAAACCGTGTGTCAGTCGTTTTAGTAAAAAAAAGGCAACGTAAAAATTTTTTCTTTCCACAATATTTATCATGTAGAGGGTTTTCGTTGTCTTGTCTCGTAGTCGATGGACCCTATTTCAGGCCTTGTTTTTTGTTTCTTTGTTTGTTTTTGTCTTCCTTGAACGGGTTAAAGCCGATGGAAATTTTTTCAAAACAACTGATTTTTTCCTTCAAGTGTCCGTTAAACATAACGGACAGAAATTTATATGACAAAATCGTTAGCCGTATAAAAGCTAAAATGTGCATGGTCATATTTGGGGTATTGTTTTCACTTTTCTGAAGTCGGGCTCAGAGAAAGCTTGCATAAACCCCCTATTTAACCTATTACTAGTAATAGTTGACACTGCAGCTGCCCCCGATCAGTATATTGTCGGTCAATAGTATTCTTGCTCGTTGTGTAGCTCTTTGAAATATACCGATTCATAATGAAGATTTTCACACATATTCCATACAATAGCTAGGTGAGATGAATACAGGAAACGCAAGGTTCCAGCATGCACAGTTTCAGTTCGATTTACCCAGCTTTGATCAAAACATTCTCAGTTTCGAGAATAGTTTAAACCATAAGAAAAGATTTAATTGGATGTTGAATTTTTCGCTATTTCTCTTTCACTTTTTACATTCAGTTCATTTTATTTGCCGGAAAGGAAGCCTCAGAAATTAAAAGGACGTTTGATCAATTCACGCTCGCGTATTCTATTCTTATTTTAAACTTTATAGCGGAAGGACATATGTGAGAAGGGAATAAGTCAGCACAGAATTTGATTGTCGGCGAATTTCTGCAATCGTCCATCGTTCTGCTAGTGATAAGCTAGCCGTTGTTGATTCGTCTTGCTTTTTTGGGGCTGAGTCTTATTCCGGTCAAAGAGAGAGAAAGAGTGTCTGGCAAGGTTTCCAATCAAAGATTTGTGAACACGTGTCTGGCAAACTCTCCAAGTGTTTATATATACACAGTTATACGCACCTTATAACTTCATCTGCGCTCAACGAGTGTCTTTTGCTCCATAACGTTCAAAACAACTGCTCCACAGAATGTCACTGATAACACGTAACGCAAAAGAGTATCCAAGTATGACTGCACAATCTACCTAAGCGGTCCCTTCGGGATTTTCTGTCTTTACGTCATTCTATCCATTTCGAACAGGGGTCTTTTTTGCATGAGCATGCGCGACCGCTGAACAAGCGATGTGCATGGAGGCTCACCACAGGGTTTGCCTTCATCAAAATGGCGCGTCTCAAAGCTATCATAGCGATTATTTTGCTCGTTGGTCTTGGCGAATGTACTCGTGATGTAACAAAATGTGTAGTTTGCAAAAAAAAAAACTCTAACATGGTCTAAAAAAAAGCGAAGTAGACCGGCTTTAACATACACGAGCTACTATCAAATTTCATCTCCCCACTTGACCTGGACAACAGCGCGCCTATATGTAGTGCCTGGAGGATTGCGCTGACCTCATCAAAGTCTAGACAAAGTGCAGAAACGTTTGTTGATGCAAGTAAACACTTTCAATTTTCTTTGTTTTGAAATGGGAAAGGAAGATAAATATTAAAAAACAGCAAATTTCAACGGGTTCGAAGTGCGCGAAAGCCGATGTTCAGTTCAGCAGTGAATTAATATATGTTCTACAATTTTCCAAGCACTTTAAAGCTACAAAATTAAGAGCAAACGAGACGTAGATTAGTCACCTGGTGAGATGTTGGTGGTAGTCACTCTGTATGTCTCCGAACAATAAAAAAATGAATATCAATGAGACACAGTCAAAACTGCATTCAATAGGACCGAAATTAAAGTCCAATCTTGTGACCGATTTTGATGAAACAAACGGTTAGGTTTCCCAAGAAGTACAGTAAACATGTGATGCCGACCAAAAGTTAAAAATCATTAGAACATTTAAGTTCTGGCCAAAAGCAAATTCCTGTAAAAGATGCGTTACAATGTTAGTCCACGCAAAAACATGAAGTTCTACAATTTTCCTATAAACAAACTTTGTATCGCTAAAATACTTAAGGCAAAAACTCTCTATTCCAACTGAAAACGGCGTGGCAGTCGCCCGCTGATCGTTATTACTCCACTCCCGAAATATGGCTAAATCAGCTATTAACAAGTTATTGCCAGAAATGCTCTACGGCATCGAGAAACCGATTTACATCCGATTTATAGACAAACACTAAATAAAGAACATTTTGCTCAATAGGTACGCATCAGCAATGCATTCTATGCCAAACTTTGCGGTTCTTAAAGGGGAATCAAGACACGAGTCGAGCGCCAAACAACAACAAGCAGCCATGTTCGTGTCAGACATCCTTGAGAAACTTGCTCTTTCACCTCGTTCAGCGCATCAGTCTCCACTTTAAATCAACAGATCTTTACTTATTTTGTACAACGAAGGTCTTTCCTAAGTTCCTGCTACCATTTCAATCTCAAGCAAGCTTTCAAAGTGAACAATTTAGTTCCTATGACTATGCAGCACGGTCACTGTCACTGGTCGCGTGCTCTTTGACTAGTCAGCGGTCGCGCATGCTCATGCAAAAAAGACCCCTGTTTCCATTTCGTACTTGCGGGCGCAAACAATAGAAACGTCTTCATTACCCACCGATTCCTCGCGGCCCCTCTTCGAGCAAATTGATATTTTTTTTCTGGCATACTGACTGTATATTTCAACTGTAAGTACTTTCCTTAATATACGCGCGAGTTACTAGAGTGCCTCCTCGGCATTTCGCCTTCCGGGCGAAGTCCCTGCGGGGGCAACTCGTTACCTGTGTGAAAACGATTTTAAAAAAAGCAGACGCGGGGCTGGCTTATATCGAAAACTGTGCGCACCTCTGGAAAATTTCTAACTCACCTCTGGTAATGTCGCTATTTCTTAGCTGTCCATTAATTTTTTTTTTCCCAGATCTCAACTATCAGTTAAGAACAAACTTAAAACGGTCCGTTAAATCTCATCTAAAAAGGCCCCAAAAGATTTTTGATTATCTTGAAACTAAGGCTAATTCAAACGACACCGGAGGAATCAGTTTCGACCGGCTGAAAGATTTGAGCGGGGCATACTTGGTTCACCCAGGACTCTTCAATATTTTCGCCCTTTTCACACGAAACATTGAGCGGCTAGGCGTCTAAATTTTCGAACGATTAAGCTGGTTTCCTTGTGAACGAAAAAAACTAATCGCACAAATTTTCAACCTGTCGAAAATTCGTCCGATTCCGTGTGAACGTCTCCTAAGCTGATAATACGAAATGTTACAATAACTAATTTAACCCTCGGGCGTACAAGGGCTGGAGGGGGGAGGGGGGGGTTGCCGCCCCCCTAAGGTTTTTCTGAGTTTTTCCCTAGACGATAAAACATCAGCACCTGACGGTTTTCAGAAGCTGTTTGTTTATCCCTAGTAGGCAATTTGAGACAAGTTTAGTCATGGTCAGTTACTATGGTTACGAGGTATGACGTTATAAGTAGCAGGTGGTCAAGCCATTTTTGAGTGAAATTACATGTTTTCTTAACTTCTTTCAACAAGAAAAGTAAAGATTGTCGATAAAACGATGCAAATTGCGAATTTATGTGTTATTTTACATGTCAAGCACAAAAAATATCATGTCCTGCGGTTTTAGCCTGATTTCTTGTAGCCCACGTTTGATATATTAAACATGATTCTAACACGACTCCGAGGTTTCACGAATCTATTGTTTCACAATTCCTTTAAGAGACATGAACACAAAGAAAGCCAAACCAAGTTTAGAAAAATAACCAGAAAGCCTTGGAGTCATGTTAGAATTTTAATATGTCGAACGTGGGCTACTCTTGGTAAAATCCAAGATGGTGGCCAAAATGGCGACCATTGTTGATGACGTCACCAGCCCCCAGCAGCGCCACTACCCACAAAATATACCTCCGCTTGTTGAGAAGATTAAAGGCTTTCTACTGAAGGCAAAATCGTTTCGAAATACTGAAACTTTTCAAAAATCAGGGAGGAAGTAGCCTGCGAACAGCAGACGCATTTCCGGTCGTCGCTTCTCTCCCTCCGAGGAGGGAGAGAAGCGACGACCGGAAATGCGTCTGCTGTTCGCAGGCTAGGGAGGGAGGGCCTCCCTCCCTGATTTTTGATATGTTGCAATATTTCGAAACGATTTTGCCTTCGGTAGAAAGCCTTTAATCTTGTTCCATCAACCACCCCCCCCCCCTACCTCCCCCTGTACCATGCTAAGGGTATGAATTTGCGTGCACTTCCGAGAGTTAAAGTAATTTTCTAATTTGTTTCTTTCCTTCAATTTTCAACAGTCCCTCTTGGTTCCATTGCTGAACTTCCTGCTGACACTTGTTATGAAATAGAAAATAGTGAGGGAAAAGCTCCTAGCGGCAACTAATGGCTTTCCGCCATAAACTCTAGCATGCCTGTCCTTACTTATTGTCATCTAGAAGGTAAGATATCTACGAAATACTTAGCACCTATCCCTACAAATATACTGAGTCTGGAGATGGGTATATCAACTCTACTTGGCGCGCGCGGGGGACAGTTTAGGAGGAGCCGAGAAAAATACATGGACTGTCGCAACAGCATTGCAGCTCGAGTTCAGGGGGCAAAGTTTCTTTTTGTGCCTCTCACCATTCATCATCTAACAAACTCCGCTTTAAAAAAAAAAATTTGGTTGCGTATATGCAAACATTTTCTTCGGCTTCGCAATGCCGAAAAAAGTGAAAACATTCCCCATTTTTTCGACTCCTTCCAAACTAATACTTTATCAAAGTAAATCTTTTGGAGGATCGATAATTTTTTAGTTTAAACTGAATTTGAGGATCTGACGTAATGTGAAAACTAGCAATAAATTTGCATAGTTGCTGGCCATGTGAGTGATCTAGTATGGGGCGTTGGCTTTACTAGGTCTCAAAATATAAGCCAAGCAAAAACAACAATAAAATTCGATGCAGTCAGTCTATACCCTGGTCCAAGAGGTTTTTCTTGAAATCTTTCTTCAAGAAAGAAAAAAAAAAAGTTTTCTTCGTGACTCCTTGTCGCCGCTTTGCGGCTCGCTTTCTCTTTGGCAAAGAAAAATTTCAAGAAAAACCTCTGGAACCAGGTAGTCAATCTAATAATCGCATTTGCTTTCGTTTAATTATCCAGAAAGAAGCTGTAGTGACATTAAAGCTCAAAATCCTCGGGCCACGAGTGGCTCTTACGTCATCGACCCAGATGGCGACGGAGGCAACGAGCCTTTTACTGTCTTTTGTGACATGGCTGACAAAAACGGTGTCGGCGTGACGGTAGTAGGTCACGACAGCGAAGCTAGAACGCTAGTTGATGGCTACGAAGGACCAGGGAGTTACGTGAAATATATCACCTACACTGCAACGGGGCTTACCGACGTGGCACAGTTAGCAGTGCTGGCAGATGTTTCCGCTCACTGCGAACAGTTTATTAAGTATGAATGCTATCGTGCCCTTCTTTTCAGAGATGATGAATGCTGGTGGGTATCACGTGACAACGAAAAGATGATCTATTGGGGCGGAGCTAGACCAGATGATTACAAAAAGTGCGCATGTGGGGTGACATCGCCAAACTCCTGCGTAGACCCTAATTATGGATGTAACTGCGAGATGAATGATGCCACGTGGCGCGAAGACAGCGGTTTACTAACTGAGAAATCCCAACTTCCGGTGATGGAGTTAAGATTTGGGGACACTGGTGGCTCGTCAGAGAGAGGCTATCACACCCTTGGAAAATTCAAGTGTTACGGTTAGCCAGCCCAATATTGGCTTCCTTAGTATTAAGCCTGATAAATAAAAAAAGAAAAGGAGTTTTGTCACATTAAATCCAACTCTGTAAGGGACGGTACTGTTTCACGGCTGTCCAATTCATTTTGTTTCTAAAGAATGTCTCTAATGTCATCTACGCTTTTAGGTACTTTTGTTAATACTTCTTAGTTAAGTTTAAAACATTGTAATTAGTAATTAGCTAACATTGTAATTAGTATTAGATTAAGTGTTGTAATTAGTTATTATAAATAATGTATTTAAATATAATCATTGAAAAGCCCCTTTGGGAGGTAACAATAAAGTATTTAAGCAATAGAAAACGTTTTCCGTGTTTGCATAACCTGATATAAACACGAGAGGGGTTGGGAGAATTCGAGACAGTTCGAAACCCTCGAATTCGAGACTGTTCAAACCCTCGACTTCGTCTCGGGTTTGCATAACCGTCGAGAATTCTCTCAACGCCTCGAGTGTTTATATCAGGCTATGCAAACACAGGAAAAAAGTTTTCTATTGCTTTTATAAAATAACTTTCCCGAGAAAAAAACGCAAAACTCTTTGTATGGCACTGATTAAAAGAGAAATTCTTTCCAGTCGCAAAATCTTGTCCACGAAGTCTTGCACGCGTAACGAGTTCTTGTTTTGCAAAAAAGATGCTTTGCAAAATGCGGATTTTTCTCGCTTTAAATGTCAGCTTAAGCGAAGAAAAATTGACTCACCTTCTTTGTAACGATTTTCCATGTTTCACTCCGAGGAAGGAATGGGTAAATAAAGTAAACTTGTCGAGTTTTGAACTGGAAAACTTTTTCAAATTCGTGCAAGCCAAACAACTTGACGCCACAACCATGTTTACATACTCTCATGCAAACACTCCTCTCGGCCAATCAGAGCGCCCGTACTATCTTAGTTATTTTGTAAGTATGTATGTATGTATGTACGCCGCATCGATATCCGCTATAATACTTGAGAAACCTGTGAATAACAAAATCACAGGTTCGTGTCAAAGGATTCGTCTCTAAAGCATTATATCCATGGTTGCAAACAGCAAAAATGACCTTTGAAAAACTGTTAGGTGACAACGTTTTTAAAAACCATACTTGCAATCCCTTTCAATCTTCTTTAAGTTAGTCCATCCCCGCTTCTCTCTGAAATTGCTGTATCATTTATACCTTCTTCTGACGTCTGAAGCGGTGAGTTTTAATGTTTCACTCAATTTGGCGATAGTTCCCACGGTTTGAATTTTGATAAATTTCGCGACACAGCTTCTTTAAGAGGCTTTAGCATCGATTGTCCAAACTTTATTTCTAGATATTGCCTTCCTTTTGGGTGGTCTATAAACGATTCTTCCTCATTGGAGCCATGCAAGATAAAGTCAAGCAAAAAAGTGAGCTTTGTTGCGTCGCAAAATGTACAAAATAACACAAGGCATTTATACCGCGAAATGTAACATAACATATGGTATAAAACCGAAGTGTAATAAGTAAACTTTTAAAGGAAAATGTAGCACCTTTTTCATTAAAAAAAGAAACAGTTAACGGTGTTTGCCTCTTTTAAATATTGACAAAGGGATGTTATTATTCATCATAAAGAGTACCCGATTAATAGTGAATAAAATGACACTATTCCCACCTCAGCGTTCATTTTGTTGAACTCGATTTAGTGCGTTTACATTATTGTCTTCCCTTAATCTTGCTTATGTTAGACAACCCCTAAACTAACCCCCGCCCAAATGATACAGGGAGCTTGGTTCACGGCTTGGGCAAATGGTAAGCAAAATTCAGGACAGGTAAATTTCGTTCCGGAATCGCGTTTACTATTTGTACAAATAAGTTCCATCTACCTAAAAAAGAATGCAAAGTCCTGAAATTGGTATCAAAGATTGCGTTTAAGAAGTGGAACCTGTACACAAATTTCTTTTTGGACCATTCCGTCCGAAAAAGAAAAAACAGGACTATTTTTTCAGATGTCCCGTCGCTCTGCTGGAATGACCCAAAAAGTCGAGTTTCATTTACTTCCCAACCCGATTTTTCGGAAACGCTTTGTAAAGGGCAAACAACCTTGATTCACAAGGGACCGTTTTATATATTGGCTCCGTTCACAAGGCACTTTAATTTGCACGGCTTGGCGTCTAAATTTTCATACGGAGGTAGTTCATTGTGAACGGAAGGAATAATTTAAAAACGCACGAATTTTCAACAGGTGGAAAATTCGTCCGGTGGTGAGTGTGGTCGTGCCTTAATACTGCACATGTGGGGCACGTGCAGCACACTTTTTTTTGTACATTTCTTTACAGTCAATGCACAACTATAAAGTGGAATTCCCTCACGTGGCGTTTTAAGGAGTACGTAACCCTGCAGTTCTTTCTTTTTCTTTCTTCTTTCCTTACTCTGAAAAAGACAAACGCACAACAGTCCTATTTAGGACTTGACGTAATGTGAAAACTAGCAATAAATTTGCATAGTTGCTGGCCATGTGAGTGATCTAGTATGGGGCGTTGGCTTTACTAGGTCTCAAAATATAAGCCAAGCAAAAACAACAATAAAATTCGATGCAGTCAGTCTATACCCTGGTCCAAGAGGTTTTTCTTGAAATCTTTCTTCAAGAAAGAAAAAAAAAAAGTTTTCTTCGTGACTCCTTGTCGCCGCTTTGCGGCTCGCTTTCTCTTTGGCAAAGAAAAATTTCAAGAAAAACCTCTGGAACCAGGTAGTCAATCTAATAATCGCATTTGCTTTCGTTTAATTATCCAGAAAGAAGCTGTAGTGACATTAAAGCTCAAAATCCTCGGGCCACGAGTGGCTCTTACGTCATCGACCCAGATGGCGACGGAGGCAACGAGCCTTTTACTGTCTTTTGTGACATGGCTGACAAAAACGGTGTCGGCGTGACGGTAGTAGGTCACGACAGCGAAGCTAGAACGCTAGTTGATGGCTACGAAGGACCAGGGAGTTACGTGAAATATATCACCTACACTGCAACGGGGCTTACCGACGTGGCACAGTTAGCAGTGCTGGCAGATGTTTCCGCTCACTGCGAACAGTTTATTAAGTATGAATGCTATCGTGCCCTTCTTTTCAGAGATGATGAATGCTGGTGGGTATCACGTGACAACGAAAAGATGATCTATTGGGGCGGAGCTAGACCAGATGATTACAAAAAGTGCGCATGTGGGGTGACATCGCCAAACTCCTGCGTAGACCCTAATTATGGATGTAACTGCGAGATGAATGATGCCACGTGGCGCGAAGACAGCGGTTTACTAACTGAGAAATCCCAACTTCCGGTGATGGAGTTAAGATTTGGGGACACTGGTGGCTCGTCAGAGAGAGGCTATCACACCCTTGGAAAATTCAAGTGTTACGGTTAGCCAGCCCAATATTGGCTTCCTTAGTATTAAGCCTGATAAATAAAAAAAGAAAAGGAGTTTTGTCACATTAAATCCAACTCTGTAAGGGACGGTACTGTTTCACGGCTGTCCAATTCATTTTGTTTCTAAAGAATGTCTCTAATGTCATCTACGCTTTTAGGTACTTTTGTTAATACTTCTTAGTTAAGTTTAAAACATTGTAATTAGTAATTAGCTAACATTGTAATTAGTATTAGATTAAGTGTTGTAATTAGTTATTATAAATAATGTATTTAAATATAATCATTGAAAAGCCCCTTTGGGAGGTAACAATAAAGTATTTAAGCAATAGAAAACGTTTTCCGTGTTTGCATAACCTGATATAAACACGAGAGGGGTTGGGAGAATTCGAGACAGTTCGAAACCCTCGAATTCGAGACTGTTCAAACCCTCGACTTCGTCTCGGGTTTGCATAACCGTCGAGAATTCTCTCAACGCCTCGAGTGTTTATATCAGGCTATGCAAACACAGGAAAAAAGTTTTCTATTGCTTTTATAAAATAACTTTCCCGAGAAAAAAACGCAAAACTCTTTGTATGGCACTGATTAAAAGAGAAATTCTTTCCAGTCGCAAAATCTTGTCCACGAAGTCTTGCACGCGTAACGAGTTCTTGTTTTGCAAAAAAGATGCTTTGCAAAATGCGGATTTTTCTCGCTTTAAATGTCAGCTTAAGCGAAGAAAAATTGACTCACCTTCTTTGTAACGATTTTCCATGTTTCACTCCGAGGAAGGAATGGGTAAATAAAGTAAACTTGTCGAGTTTTGAACTGGAAAACTTTTTCAAATTCGTGCAAGCCAAACAACTTGACGCCACAACCATGTTTACATACTCTCATGCAAACACTCCTCTCGGCCAATCAGAGCGCCCGTACTATCTTAGTTATTTTGTAAGTATGTATGTATGTATGTACGCCGCATCGATATCCGCTATAATACTTGAGAAACCTGTGAATAACAAAATCACAGGTTCGTGTCAAAGGATTCGTCTCTAAAGCATTATATCCATGGTTGCAAACAGCAAAAATGACCTTTGAAAAACTGTTAGGTGACAACGTTTTTAAAAACCATACTTGCAATCCCTTTCAATCTTCTTTAAGTTAGTCCATCCCCGCTTCTCTCTGAAATTGCTGTATCATTTATACCTTCTTCTGACGTCTGAAGCGGTGAGTTTTAATGTTTCACTCAATTTGGCGATAGTTCCCACGGTTTGAATTTTGATAAATTTCGCGACACAGCTTCTTTAAGAGGCTTTAGCATCGATTGTCCAAACTTTATTTCTAGATATTGCCTTCCTTTTGGGTGGTCTATAAACGATTCTTCCTCATTGGAGCCATGCAAGATAAAGTCAAGCAAAAAAGTGAGCTTTGTTGCGTCGCAAAATGTACAAAATAACACAAGGCATTTATACCGCGAAATGTAACATAACATATGGTATAAAACCGAAGTGTAATAAGTAAACTTTTAAAGGAAAATGTAGCACCTTTTTCATTAAAAAAAGAAACAGTTAACGGTGTTTGCCTCTTTTAAATATTGACAAAGGGATGTTATTATTCATCATAAAGAGTACCCGATTAATAGTGAATAAAATGACACTATTCCCACCTCAGCGTTCATTTTGTTGAACTCGATTTAGTGCGTTTACATTATTGTCTTCCCTTAATCTTGCTTATGTTAGACAACCCCTAAACTAACCCCCGCCCAAATGATACAGGGAGCTTGGTTCACGGCTTGGGCAAATGGTAAGCAAAATTCAGGACAGGTAAATTTCGTTCCGGAATCGCGTTTACTATTTGTACAAATAAGTTCCATCTACCTAAAAAAGAATGCAAAGTCCTGAAATTGGTATCAAAGATTGCGTTTAAGAAGTGGAACCTGTACACAAATTTCTTTTTGGACCATTCCGTCCGAAAAAGAAAAAACAGGACTATTTTTTCAGATGTCCCGTCGCTCTGCTGGAATGACCCAAAAAGTCGAGTTTCATTTACTTCCCAACCCGATTTTTCGGAAACGCTTTGTAAAGGGCAAACAACCTTGATTCACAAGGGACCGTTTTATATATTGGCTCCGTTCACAAGGCACTTTAATTTGCACGGCTTGGCGTCTAAATTTTCATACGGAGGTAGTTCATTGTGAACGGAAGGAATAATTTAAAAACGCACGAATTTTCAACAGGTGGAAAATTCGTCCGGTGGTGAGTGTGGTCGTGCCTTAATACTGCACATGTGGGGCACGTGCAGCACACTTTTTTTTGTACATTTCTTTACAGTCAATGCACAACTATAAAGTGGAATTCCCTCACGTGGAGTTTTAAGGAGTACGTAACCCTGCAGTTCTTTCTTTTTCTTTCTTCTTTCCTTACTCTGAAAAAGACAAACGCACAACAGTCCTATTTAGGACTGCGCTCACCCAGACAACATCGCGTAAAAAACTAATAGAAGCGAGCGACAGTAGGAACCATATCAAACGTAAATTAAGATTGAAAAAACAATGTCATTATTCACACCACAACACAAAAACGAACCACCTACCCCTCCCCTAAGCTATCATGATTAACACTTACTTCTCACTTGGGGCAAAATGTTGGCTTAGGGGAGGGGTAGGTTGGTAGTTTTTGAGACACCTAAGTTGATCCCAACACAGGCCAAGAAACTCCCGGGATACGGTCGGAATAAGGTCTTTTTCTGATCTTGGTTTTACGCAACGCAATATGCACTTCCCCTCCACGCACAAAGCCTTTCAGATGGAATCTCAGACGGGTCAACTGCGATATAATTCGGACACATCCGTTTGAGCTAACTAAGGGGAACAAAATCTGATTTTTCTCCCATTGTATTACAAGGGAATCAAGTTCTCGGAATTCGGGAAAAATTTTGCTTGTGAAATCTGGAATCCTAGGCTTTGGAATCCGGAATACAGCTTAAGGAATCCGGAATCCCACTAACTAGTTGGAATCCAGAATCCAAGTTCCACTGACTGGAATCCAGTACCTGGAATCCGGAATCCACGGCGCGGAGTCCAGATTTCAAGACTGTCTTACATTCCCTGACGTGGGCTTAGATGTTAAACCAATGAGAAAAATCATTGATGCTGTCTCACAACTGGACAACGGAAGTAGTATCATCACTACCACCTATCTGTTTATATAATACCTATCCAATTTAATTGTAGGTAGGTACGCCATATGTTCGTTAAGTGAAATGTTGCTAATTGTGACTTTTGTTAGCCCCTTATTAGGAAATGTTTAGGGGAGAAATGAAACCCAAGGACTATATATAGCAGTGAAGTCTTAGCAATATTTGGAGAGTTTCCAGAAATGAACAAGCTAAGACCGTTCAGTGGAGATCGATAGCTCTTTAGAAGTTTTCAAACGTGTGGTACAGTATACAGAATTTTATAGCACACGATTGTGATCGATAGTAGCTTGTTTGACTGAATCATACACAAGTCTGTAGGGTCTTTTCTGCACATGTCTATAAGGATTATATCACCTTGGCCATTTGTGAACCATAGTAGAGTCATGGTGGGTTGATACACTATGTTAGTAATATGTATTAGAACTCATGACAGGTATCTATAAATTAAAGGAGGTGTTTTCTTCTAAACGCGTAGACACACCAAAACTCAAAAGAAACGGGTCACTATCAACGCCTCGCGTCACGGGAAAAATGACAGATTTTGAAGCGACGGATGGCGTAGGACTCTTCAGAGGTGGGACAGGCTCCAAAAATTCTGAAAATTCAAATTTTTTTTGGCAATGATTCAGCTTTTAATAATGTATCAAGAAAGCCAACTAAGCAATTATTCACTTGCCAGAGAAAAACTATGCCAGGGCACACATTGACACTAATTAACCAAATTAAGAGTGGACTTTTTTTAACCTGAAAATTATGTTAGACAAAAGAATTGATGTGCATAATCTCGCCCTCATTTTTCTTTAGATCGATGCTTTGTCTTAGTCGACTAGTTTCCCGTGTTCTTAAAGTTTACTTTAATTTGCTATAAATTCTATTACTAAGAAATCATTTTAAGATTTTGCGTTTTTTTTCCTTGAAAATCTCTTTTAATTTGCGGGCGTCCCTGTAATGTTATTTTTTTTCCCCAAATTTACACTTCTTATTATGAATGCTATTCTAATGAGATCACATAGATTTAATAGCCTTGCACTCATTATATAAAAGTGACTGACTTTTTTTAAAAGGGTGTATGGGACTTACAGTAAAATAAAAATATTGCCTTTTGTTAAAAATAAATGCGTATGTACAGATTTGCTGCTTTGAAATTTAATTTTAATTTCAAAGCCCCGATTTCAGCAATGAAAAGATCTGAAAAGGTAGGGACAATGTCCACCAGGAACCGTGCATGAAATCACTAGGAAAATATATTAAATTTCACAAGATATTGTGGGCGTCCACTTCCGATTTCAATCTGGTTATTGTTCGATAGAAACAAAAAGTAACTAAATACGCATATTAGAAAAAATGAATATAATTATACTATAAATACATAATTGGAGCACCAGTACAAGCCAGTGAGGGACTTCTATAATGTAAGAAGTGATTTACTTTTCCAAGGCAGCCTTAAGGTTCGTAAATGTACAAAAGCTACTTTCGCATGACTTGTGCTATTTCAGGTATCATTATTTCACTATATGTGAATGGTTATATAAAAACAATTGTGGTTAATTTAGGAAATTTAATTTATACCCACGGTGACTCTTTTCTTCGAAAAACCGGCTAAGTAGGTGATCTTCGCCCACTTTTGAAATTTTTTTAATTAGGACCGAATTCTAAGCGGGTCGGTTATTTAGACGAAGTTTAACTTTAGCCGCAGTTAAAGAAATCCTTGGACCTCCAGATCTCTTTCTTAGTGGGTTAATTTAGGAAAAACCCATTGCAGTGTACGCTATATGCTTGATTGAAATTGTTAACGATAAAATGTGTCTAGCCTTAGAACTCTGTTTT